TTAAAGATCCCGTGATGGTCTAGAATCGATAAGAGAGTAGGCTTCGGCCGCCACCCGGGCAAAATTCAAAATTTCCTATCAATTTAAAATGTTTGGTGTGTCCCGCGCGCTCATATGACCGTATGCAGTTGCGAGCGCATTAAAACACTTACCTAAAAAAAAAAAAAAGAGAGAAAGAATAATAAAATATTATAGTTAATCATGCTACGGCTGCAGGGAGGCAGCCAGGTGTAAAGCAGAAGGATTTTACCTTGCGCTCGTTACCTCTGATATTTCTGGAAATGCATTGACCAAACCAGCCACCTGCAGCCATCACAAGAAGACATGCAATGAATAAGTAAAAAGTGTAAGTGTGTGGGTTTAACTCCTCTATCAACACTATTAGGTTATTTAGGAGGCGTGACCTCCGAATTTAACGTCCGTCTCCGATAGCACCGAGCCAAAAGGGCTCAGAGCCATGAAAACTCCACAAATCGACCCAAGATCAAGAGCGCCCGGTCTGGGATTCGAACTTGGGCCATCCGTTCTGTTGTCCTGCTTGATACCAACTGAGATATACAGGACCCCCGCATACAATGAAAGTGTATAATATAGGACAAGTAATACTAGATATAATTAATTGTGAGGAAGCGTGGTGGATTCAGGCTCTCGTCAAAATAATAAAAGTGAAGAAACCTGCATTTTTCCGAAGTTTGTGAATTTAATTAAATTTTTGTTTTTTGGCTCAACACCTTTCATGCCCATTGAAGAACTCATTTCTGTGTGGATTTTTCTGAAAAACGTTCATTAAAGGCACAGAAAAGGTAAATTTTCAGTTATCACAGACTCTTCAGTAAAGGAAATAACTAATCTTTTGCCGCCATTTTCTCACTAATTTTACCTCTAAAAACAGGTGACCGCCACCTCCTTCAATTGCTAATATCTGGACTTGTATTCAAGATAAATGGATATTTTTTTCATCCAAATAAAGACAGGTGAACAAGCTTTAAGATGATACCAATAACTCTACATGCCCAAAAATTGACGAGAGCTTGATTCCACCACGCTGCCTCACCTCTCTGTGACAGAACAGCATCCTGAACTACACCTCTCCCTCTTCCCCCACCCCGACTGTTAGATTTGGCCAGTGGCACCTAGCGTGGTGGTTCCCTTAGCTCCTGCTTCAACTTCTTAGCGGTAATCGGCCTTAACTCTATCCTACGCCCTAGGGCAATTTTGTACCCCGTGGGTTGAATTCTTCACATTTTAGAATACTTCTAGTACGAAGATCTCTGTGAAACTTTCAGTATTTCTCAAAATAATAATTTTGACAGACTGCTATGCAAAGCGTACAGATCGGATTACCGAGTAAATTTCCTCTTTGGAAAGTGGTGGCACATAGTTCCCCACGTCGTATGGATACGATAGTAAAACACGACGTGGGGATAGGGTTAACGATGGGTACTTCGGTAGCAACAATGTTCATAACTCGCGATGGGGAAAGAGAAGGAGATTGTGGTAACGAAATTCTTACCAACTGAAAGTGTAGACTGGACGAAGCCGCTGCAGGAGCCTGAAAGTGACAGATGGAGTGGAAAGGGGGAACAACCTAGTGGTTGTTTGTCACTTTGAGAGTAAAATCAATCTCTTGCCAATACTTACCGGTTTTACTTCCGGGGTCAAGTAGCTATGAAGAGTTGAAATACGTTTATTACATTGAGCAAATTGAATATATATATATATATATCCATATTAACTTCCAAACAGTTTTGCATAGGGCAGGGGGTCAAACGACTATAAAGTGTAGAAATCATTTCATTGCTTTGAACAAAGTTTAGTAGTAGTTTAAATTTATAGACTTCTTAAACATTTAGTAACTTAGGGGGTCAAACAGTTAGGAAAATTATAAATGATTTCGTTGCTATGAGCAAAGTTTAGTTGCAATTTGAATTTGTATAGCCATGTTAACTCTTTTTCAAAATAGGCTACTTTGTGGTTTTCCTGGGGGGGGGACAGAAATGCAGTGCCAGATAATTTCCGTTACGTTGTGTAACGTTTAGTTGCAGTTTGAATTTATAGTCATCTTAAATACCTTACGGATTTTTCTTAGAGGGTCAAGCAGCTACGCAGTGCAGAAATGTTTTCATTACATTAAGCAAAATATAGTTGGTGTTTGAATTTATGACCGTCTTAAATTATTGGTTATGAAGCTGAAACTCTGGTATAGTACGGTATGGTAGAAGTGTAACTCTTTAACTCTTTAAGGACGTAGCGAACACGCATATCCAAAAGCAGACCAATCATAATAATAGTAATTGTAATAATAAAGATCATTTCTACAGCGCCCACTCGCTGGTGTCTATAGGCGCTTTGCAATAAACTGAGATTTACATCTAGTTTCATGCGTACCGGCCCGCTCAACGTAAAACAATTGTGTTTCAAATACAAATGTGTGTGTGTGTGCCCGGAGAAAGGTCCCAGTTGTCGGCAAAGTTATTTTTGAGCAACAGGGAGGAAAGGCCAAAAAAAAAATATATACGTACTGGTAAAACATTTAGTTTCAAAAGGAAACACACGTTTAATCATTTCATAATAACACATTGAAAAGATTTTATTATGTTTTAAGGCTTCACATTTTTATTCGTTATTTTTGCAGCATGTTGTACGTCATCAAAGGTTAAAATGTTCTAAAAATTTTGGCTTTTTCTCCTAAACGTTTTTTTACACACAAAATATGGACAAATTTAAAAATTAGCGTGTTCAGCATTGAATTTGCTAGAGGAATATACCCTTATTTCAAAACCCAAAATTTTCGACAACTGGAACCTTTCTCATTGCACACACACACACACACACACACACACACACACACACACACACACACACACACACACACACACACACACACACACACACACACACACACAATACACTCGTAAGCTGACGAAGAACACGATCACTGTGGGAAGTGCCCAAAGGCAATGCTGTGGCACGTTAGAACGATCATACACAAATGAAAAACATCAATCAGAATATTCTATAGTATATCTACGTTTTCTGTATTTTTTCAGTTTCAGAAAAAAGAAGCATTTTCTTTAAATGTGTGTATAAATAATGAAGTTATGCTTCTTTTAAAAGGTGCCCCTAAAGAGTGCATATTCAAGAAATGTCATTTGACCAGATGCTCAAGGCACCGTGGTGAAGTCAGGCGCTCGTCAAAATAAATTGAAGAAACATGTATTTTTCTGCTAATTTGACCATTTTTACAGTTTTTGTTGTGTTTTTTGTTGTTTTTGTTTTTTTGTCTTTTTTTGCGAAACACCTACTATGTCCGTGTAAAAACACAATTCCATGCGAATCTAACAGGGAATAAAGTTGATTAAATGCACTAAATACGTGTTTATAGTTTTCAAGTACTCTCAAGCTATTGAAGTTATGAAATCCTGACAGCTATTTTCTCGCTACTTTTAGGACTGAATTCAAGTTTTTATGTACTTATTCTTTTTCGCGTCAATTTTCTTTAAAGTAGCCCACTTCTGTCGCACTTTCAGAATGCAGTGTTGAAAGAAATACCCTACTTAATGCGTTCAACGATCTTTTAAAATAGAAAGATTAATTAAAAAGCGAGATAGCCATTTAAAGTTCATATCTTATAGTATTGAGCCAAGTAGCAGAATAGTCGCGAAAATTTCTCAAACAATTAATATTCAAGAACATCTTGTTAGATATTTGAACCCGGTTCCTCCGCTTTGTAGTTTTGAACTTAAAACATAATATTATGCAGCCTGAACATCCATCGATGTATATTTTTCGCCTCACTCATTTCACAGCTCTAAAGTCACTTGTTGACCTCGACCATCTCTTCACAATAAAACGTTACCGATTATGTTTATTGTGAGGGAACAAAATCGATCGGAACTAAGGATAAAGTAGATTATACATGTATCCTCCGAAAAAAAAAGGCCAACTAAGCGCGACTTTTAATAAAATAATAATTTTCGTGTACCGTGTCACGATTACAGCTGTCGCTGTTATTACCACCACCACTACTGCTGCTACTACTACTGCTGCTGCTATAACAGCCACTACTACCACTACTACTTCCACTAC